TGCGATTTATTGTAGCATTTTTGCACGTTTAATTTCTATTAGAATTTGTGTCATAATTTGTATATCTTCTTTTTTCTGTTGGTATACACTGCTCATGAACTTTTGATGAGCCTTTCTTTTATATATATATTTTTTTTGGTTCCTTTTTGAACCTATTGAGTTGTAAAAAATAGATAGCCTACAAAGATACTGACATAAATTGATGCATTTAAACACATTTATCTGGTACTTAAATTTTAAGACAACGATTGGCACAATTTAATTTATCAAAAAATTCCTAGAGGGTTAAACTAAACCCTGTTTTTCATATTCTTCAACTTTGTATTTGATTTGGCTTTCTTCCTGTTTTGATTCATGTGCCACTTATGAGTCTCAGGTAGCCAAAACGCACTTCTAGCATATCAAATTATAAGTATCGTAGATGAGTTTGTTTTATTTTGGCGTTTGCTGCTATCAGTATAAAAAGTAAAATCACAAAAATACTGAACTCTGAGGAAAATTCAAAAAGGAAAGTCCCCAATCAAATGGCAAAATAAAAAAAACAAACACATCAAACGAATGGATAACAACTGTATAAAACAATCAACCTTTTTTCTTTAGATGCAATTCTTGATCATGAAGTACTTCTGTCCAAGGTTCATTACATTCAATGAAAGTTTGAAAAAGATATTAATACCAACAATTTATTGATGTCTGAATAACTTTGACCTTAAACTATCTAAATGTAAACTGCAAACAAATGACTGAACATTTATCAGTTAAGGACTAAAAAATTTAGTATTTAAAAAAAAATTTCAACATTTTGCTCTGGATACTGTCTTGATCATGACCAACAGATGCTTTTTTTCCCAATCCAGGTAGTTTTCCAAAATGCCAGAAAATTTGGAAAAGTCATATTGATATTTGAAAAACTTTTAATTTTGGACTAAAAGTTAACAGCAAAAAAACCCAACCAAGTCCAATTACTAGTTATACACAGACAAATGCATTTTTTTTTCTAAATTATGCTCTGGACACTGTCTTTTGATTAATACAGGTCTTCTTATTCCATGGAGTTTTAACAGTTATTGAATTCTGGTAAAACTAATTTTAACCCCTGACTTGAATGAAATAGTCTATATACAGGTATTACCCCAACTCGAATGGAAGACTCTGTCCACAGGTTAACTATTAATAGCCGAGTTCATTATCGATCTACTCAGATTTTTAACAAGACAGGAATTATTGAAAATAAACACATCTGATGATTACTTACATATTAAAACATGTTAAATGAATTTTACTTCTTAAAAAATATTTGATCAACAATGAGCAACAAGCGGCATGTAGTTTCTTAGTGTTGATAATATGGTAGACTTCATCTGGTCTGAAGGGGTGTTCTACTTTTACTTCTACCCTTACGCTATTAACTATTTTTCGAGTTAAATACTACACATGATTTAAAATCAAGCAACAACAATAACCTAAATAGCAGATAAAAACACAGAAAGGATCTCTTGAGTTGCAAGTCAATCATCGGAGAGGGGAATCCAGAGCAACCATCATTAGTCTGATGCCCCTCAATGTGAAGAAAACTACACATTGGCTTAATAACATAAACAAAATGTAGAATTATGTTTTGATTGAGGACAACATGTCTACTGTGGTTCTCCATTTCTTTGTGGAAGTTTAATATTAAAGTTTCATAAAGGTAACCTAATAGGAACAACACCACATCAGTATTTATCTGACGGAAGAAGTTTTATTTCGGAACAACTCTTGCATTTTAAAAAATAGCGAAATGCCCACTTTGACGTGGTTGCAAAATATATAAAGCCCTTAATTAATACTGATTTTTCGTATTGTAAAATAAACGCAAATAAGAAAGGGAGATATCAAAGCATAAGGATTATGAGAAGAAAATTAACAGAAAGTTGTTTATATTCTATCTGTTTGTTTGTTTTACTCTTTAAAACAGAATAATCTTCCGAATCTAGTTTGTTCCTAAATATAAAGCACAAAACGGTTGACGTGAGATTCTTGGAAAGAGGTCAATAGTAAAAGTCTACAGACTGCTTGACAGCAATCATATCCCAAAATCAATTAGTTTCTATAAACTATCTTTTTCCATTAGATCCAACATAAAATGGTGCCTTTGGTAATTTCCATTTGCTTTAAAACAAGAGTTAACTTTTTATTGACCTTTCCAATTTTAATTAAGTTATATTGTCGTAAAAAGGTACAAACAAAAGATAAGGACAGCCTTCGTTATCTGCTATTTTCGATTCTAAGAAAAAAACATAGAAATGTGCTACGTGATCAAATTAATGATATCTGAAGAGGCTCAAGTCAAAATAAATGAGAAAATCTTACAATTAAATTTTTTCAAAAGCTTTTTCCCTCATTTGACAGAATTCCCCAAAAAATGTATGGACTCCTAACAGATCTTTTCATTGCTGAAAATTTCATTTGAAAGCTGACAAGATCTCAAAATTAATGACTACATTGTATGCCTCAGTGTTATCATCAATTCTTTATCGGATTTACAAAACTTACTTGATCAGTAAATTGAAATACATATAATTTACAAGCAGCATGTTCATTATCTAAGTGATAACATTTTTCTCTTTGAATTCTATTTTCTTTATCACGTTATATAGACTTAATATATAGTTTTTTGAAAATTCAATTTAAACAAAAACAAACATTCCAAGTCTTCTGATTTTACTGAAACAATAAGAAATAACATGAAAACCAGATGGAGATTCCTTGATAACTACACCTTATCACACTGTCCCTTTCCATATGAAAGATAATAGATTCATTCTAACCATTTTATCGACTTACTGAGCAGAACTCCAATTAATATATAAATAGCATGTATTAGATCAAAGTATTTCCATTTGACTTGTTTGAAAATTACAATATTTAGCAATGTTTTTACAAGTCATTCTTCGAAAAAAAAACAAGAAAAAATCATTGTAAAAATATTTGAAAGCAGGTAACTCTTCCCCTAATGCGTGGTATAATTTGAAGAGGTTGTGCTATTGCAATTGAAACCAATAGATAGAAAAATACTGAAGAACAAATGATATAAATGCTGCTGATTAAGGAATTGGGGAAAAATTGAATAAAGTAAATAATGCTATAATATGACACTTTTAATTGTATGGTATTGTATCAAATATTTTGTTTTCCATATCATTAAAGGATAATTGCACAGATATTAAGGAATGTTTTCCCTTGTGATTTATCATATTGCACTAAGGCAAGACTGTGTGATATGATATTCTGCTCCAGACAATATTTCTTGATATTTAAGTGCAATAATCCTATATTATTGACTCATTAGTTTCCAACACTTCCATTAAAAGAGGATCTTGTCTCTGAATAATAAAATCTCAATACACAAGTAAATATATTTTTCTTGTATTGCTCTCAAATGGACCTTTTTGGACATATAAAATCTGAATTTCTTGAACACTTTTATCTTACTAACAAATTGAAATTCAGTTTTTAACATCCAAAATGGTCCATTGTATTGCTATTTGTATTTTGTATTTCTTCTGCAACAAAATTAATTAAATGTAAAAACTTCAATTAAACATAACTTCCATTTTTAAATATATATATTCATCATCATAATGTTGTACTTAAAATGTCTTTTAACTAATGGAGCTGAAATTTCATGCTATTACATTTGAGACAAGCATAACAGATATTTGCATTCAAATCTAATAGCTACTTATATGATACATGAAACTGTTGGTGGAATACCAGGACTCTGATTACTTTATCTTTGTTGTACAAAGGTTAAGTAAACTATATGCTGTTTTGTAAACTTGTAGTTGCAAGGTCTTTCCATTATTATTCAAAATATGTTATTATAGTCTGTCTGTTTTGGAACATTAGGAGCAATATGTTATTTCCATTTGTCAGAAGTCAAAACTCTCACAACATATCTTTGGTATTTGTTGGGATTGTGGATATGTAAACCAATCAGTATACACAGCTAAGCATTATGATAAGAAACTTTGTATATTTATTGAAAGGCTTATCAGACTTGATATTCCTGGCAAACAATGATATAATTTTTTTTTTACAGTAAATGTAAAGAAGCAATTGTAAAAAAAGAACTGTGAGTGAACTCATAAAGGGATACACCTGCATTACAAGAGTCTATTATCATTTATTGCAATGCTGAAGTAAGTAAATTTGATTACTTCGAAAATAAATAAAATTGAGAATGGAAATGGAGAATGTGTCAAAGAGTAAACAACCCGACTAAAGAGCAGAAAACAGCAGAAGGCCACCAATGGGTCTTCAACACAGCGAGAAAATCCCGCACCCAGAGGCGGGCTTCAGCTGGCTCCTAAACAAAAATGTGTACTAGTTCAGTGAAAATGGACGTCACACTAAAATGTCTGTATACTGTAAATTCAGAAATTATTGCATGCATTTATTATTGTGATATCAGGAATATCTGCATACTGATGTTTGTATCAGATATCAGAATGTGAGTTCTAATTATTGCGATACTCACCTAGGTGCATTATTCGCAATAATAAAAACCTCGCAATAATTTCTGAATTTACAGTACACATTCTAATGTAGTGTTCTACAACTGTGTTAAGTTTCATCATTATTCGTCAAGCCTTTATGTGTTAAGTTTCGTCATTATTCGTCAAGCCTTTATGTGTTAAGTTTCATCATTATTCGTCAAGCCTTTATGTGTTAAGTTTCATCATTATTCGTCAAGCCTTTATGTGTTAAGTTTCATCATTATTCGTCAAGCCTTTAGGCAAGAGTAGTGATAACAAGGTACTAGGGCAGACAGGCAGATAGACATACAGACATGGAAGTGCATATATTACCCCTCCTTTTCTTAAAAATAAACTTTGTTTTTGTATTGAATATAAATATGGAATTATAAAATTTTGAGTTGCGTCTTAAAAAGGTAAGTTCTGTCTTTGGGTATAGGTAGATTTGAAATCTTCCTCTGAGGAACATAATAAACTTACTGCTTTGTTTTGTGAATTCATCAAGGCAATCTGTACTCCTGCCTCTCCATATGAATTATATTCTGTAACATATTCATTCAGTTGCAACACTTGGGTTCCTGACATGTCATAGAGTACAGCCTATAATAATAATATATGAACATTTTATTGAGAGCAATATTTTATTGTCTTTTTTTACCCCTAGACATCCATAACCTTTGCAAGATATCCCAGTTCTTTTATGAATTATTTCATTTGAATTCTGATCAATTTCTTATTTATTTGGCCTTCCAGCTGTTTTGATCTAAATGTCACTGATGAATGTTATGGATGAAAACATGTGTCTGGCATACTAAATTATAAGCCTAGTATCTTTGATAAGTTTTTTTTCTTCAGTACAATTACCATGACCACTAAATAACAACAGTAAAGGAGAGACAAAAGATTCCAAAGGGACATTCAAACTCATAAGTCAAAAATAAACTGACAACGCCATGGCCAAAAAAGAAAGAGACCAAAAGACAAACAACAGTATATAAAATACAACATAGAAAACTAAAGACTGAGCAACAGGGTCCCAACAAAATACCGGGGTGATATCAGGGGGAATCTCTTTCAATAATTAATCATTTTAATTTTTGACAGAATGTTTAAAAACATTACTATAAAGTCCCAATATCTGCAATATTTTCAATATTGCAATAAAATCAAAAGGGAGACAATGATGATAACTAAAAATACTTAAATGTTCAAAATTATTAGCATTGATTTTTCACAAAAGATTGTATTCTATAACAATTCTAGATAATATGCATTCAGCTGAATGTTCCTGTGTTCCCCAATCTGATTAAAATACAGTTTATGTTTCAACTCTCTGTTTACAAGGATTGGACAATGCTTTACTTTCTACATTCTGTTCTAAAGATCTTCCAGAATCCTTAGGTTTTGTCCTAATGATAACCACCCTTAAAAAATTTGAAGGCTTAAATTTCATTGGTTGGTATACTAATTGCCATAATAGAAAAATGTAAAATAACAAAAATACCAAACTCCAAGGAAAATTCAAAACGGAAAGTTCTTTATCAAATGGCAAAATCAAAAGCTCAAACACTTAGAAAGTAGATCTAATTGTCAGATCCTTGAAAGCAATGCTATCGATTTATCTTTATTTTAATCATAGAACTAGTTTTGAAAGAAAAAAGAGTTACCACTCACACATGTTTAACACAGCCACATTCTATATTGGTTTTATTTTTACTAACATTGATTTGTGTTTGATTTAATAAATATAAATATTTATTGCTATACATTTATGAAAATTGATGGTCCCATATCCTGTTGATATGTACTTTTATTTTGGCATTGCACAAGGTCATACTTTCCTCAGTCTGTTTTTGACATCTATACATTCAATCTATTAGATGTGCACTGATTGATACTTTAATCTGGGATAGATTGATTGATCTTTTGGTGTTTAACACCCCTTTCAGCACTATTAACTATTTTGTGGCGGCCAGTTTTTGTTTGTGGCAGGAAAACTAACAGACCAGGCCACCGTTTCACAAAGCCTTCTTAACTTACGATCATCTTATCATTTTACGGTCCGTTTACGTGTGGTTTCTACGTTCCCGTTACGTGTGTTTCACAAAGGCATCGTAAAGGACTACTAAGTTGATCGCAAGTTACGCACTGTGTATCATCGTAAGTGTATCGTAAAACGGAACTCTGTAAACAGGAGGTGTGAATCGTAGTTTATTTACATCGGAATATGGCACACTCTTCTTTCACAGATCGATGAGTCGAGCATGCCGATGAGAGCGGACATGAAAATGCTTGCAGAGAGAATCCTTCAACATCATTGAAATTGTTTTGCCAAATTGGTTTCATGGATAAATATTGTTATCCTTACATCTTATATTTTATGTTTTGGATCTATTTTTTTGTTGAGGAAAGTTTCTGCAGATATTTTCAGGTTTGTTTGAGACATGTAGTCAGATGGAATCCATTAGTAGTTTCCATGTGGGAAACTATCAGACCAATCTATTTGATGTCTGAGGGTTTTAGCTGTTGTTCCCCTAATGGATCGGTAGTTTCTTACCGAAATGCTTTATCGTAGGATTTTCAGCTTTCCTCTACCAGGAAAACAGCTGGGCATTTAGCGGTATCGGTTTGGAATCCAAGTATGTCCTTTCCGGTTTCTCGTACTTTGCCTTGGCATTTGTGTGGCATCTGGGGTGACCTTATCCTTTATTTTGTATATAATTGTTTTTATATTTAGAATTTTTATATTTTTGAGGACGAACGAATCAGGTGAGTGGGTGTGTTCGTATGTTTTTCATTTGTAGACAAAACACAAGCCTTATATCTTTGATGGGTTACTTCCTTTGATATTCAATAATACTTTTTTTCTTTGTATCGGAAATTTGAAATAATAGGAGAGTGACGAGACATGTTTATATCTGATCAAAGGATTAAAAGAATTTTTTAATAACTACTTGATAATGTATCAAGTTATTATAGTACTGCAACTTTAGAGGAGATATGATTGATTGATTGCTGTTTTCTGAACGTACAGTGGCAAATATTTCATGCAGATTTATGACCAAGAGAAGAATTTTCAAACAAGAAATAAGAAGTTGCATGCGTTGTCGTTGAAAAAGAATTAAAAAAAAGTCCAATAAAAATAAACAAAACAAGAAATGATTGTAACAGGATGCTGTTACGAAGTCTCCCAAACGAAGCTCCCATAATTCGTAATTCCCAGGGTCGCCTGACATTTGGCAAAGTCCAGTGAAAATTGGTTTGGTCCAGTAAAGTTATATGCATTAGTGATGCCTGGAGACTAACCCTGTATATCATTTAATGTGCTTTATCATGACAAACCAGAATATATGTGGTTTAGGGGTGGGGATCTCGACCATTTACAAGATATTAGAACTTTCTCAAATGGCAGGGGGTCGGGATGACCCCTGGGGACTAACCCTGTATATCATTCAAACCATCTTAGCATGACAAACCAGAATATATATGGTTTAGGGGTGGGGATCTCGACCATTTACAAGATATAAGAACTTTCTCAAATGGCAGGGGGTCGGGATAACCTCTGGGGACTAACCCTGTATATCATTCAAACCATCTTAGCATGACAAACCAGAATATATATGGTTTAGGGGTGGGGATCTTGACCACTTACAAGATATTAGAACTTTCTTAAATGGCATAGGGTGGGGGTGACCCCTGGGGACTAACCCTGTATTTCATTTGATTTGCTTTATCATGACAAACCAGAATATATATGGTTTAGGGGTGGGGATCTTGACCATTTACAAGATATTAGAACTTTCTCAAATGGCAGGGGGTCGGGATGACCCCTGGGGACTAACCCTGTATATCATTCAAACCATTTTAGCATGACAAACCAGAATATATATGGTTTAGGGGTGGGGATCTCGACCATTTACAAGATATTAGAACTTTATCAAATGGCAGGGGGTCAGGATAACCTCTGGGGACTAACCCTGTATATGATTCAAACCATCTTAGCATGACAAACCAGAAAATATATGGTTAAGGGGTGGGGATCTCGACCATTTACAAGATATTAGAACTTTCTCAAATGGCAGGGGGTCGGGATGACCCCTGGGGACTGACCCTGTATATCATTCAAACAAACTTAGCATGACAAACCAGAGTATATATGGTTTAGGGATGGGGATCTCGACCATTTACAAGATATTAGAACTTTCTCAAATGACAGGGGGTCCGGCTGACCCCTGGGGACTAACCCTGTATATCATTCAAACTATCTTAGCATGACAAACCAGAATATATATGGTTTCGGGGTGGGGATCTCGACCATTTACAAGATATTAGAACTTTCTCAAATGGCAGGGGGTCGGGATGACCCCTGGGGACTAACCCTGTATATCATTCAAACCATCTTAGCATGACAAACCAGAATATATATGGTTTAGGTGTGGGGATCTTGACCACTTACAAGGTATTAGAACTTTCTTAAATGGCAGGGGGTGGGGGTGACCCCCTGGGGACTAACCCTATATTTCATTTAATGGGTTTTATCATTTAGAACATTTTCAATTAAAAAGATTGTGTCTTTCACAAACGGTTTTCAATTTATAATCATTTGAAAATTTAAAAAAATAAAATCCTATAGGGTTCTATAGTAAAACCCTCTTTTCTTTTTGCCCCTCAAAGTACCCCTTTATAAACCCCATTGCACAAACCAAAACCCTGATTGCACCACTAGACATGTTAGTCTAACATATTGTGAAACCCTAAGTTAATCTGACAAGCGGTTTTGGAGAACGGGTGCGGATAAGTTCAAATTTAAAAGCGGCGGAAGAGGAAGAAGAAGAAGAAGAATAATAATAATAATAAGAACTGAGCAAAAACAATAAGTCTTCCCAAATTTTGTTTGGGAGACTTAACTAGTGTATATAATGTGCGAATCCTGAAATACTATTTTCACTGTATCCGCTATGAATTTCTAATGTAGAATGATAAATAAACAGACGACAAGTTCATGATTTTTGAATAGAATAAGAAATAAGATATGATGTGTACTGTTTTTATAAATTCATGATATAGGTATGAGATGCGAACGTGTTTTCATCGCGCCTACAGCCATCCAGGTGTAAAATTGATACACAAATAGATAAATATTAAGAATAGTTCACGAACAGAGCGTGCAAGAGATTTAAAAGCAGCAGTTAAGTTTCATTTGCAGAAAAATGTACCTTTTAACATAATTATTAATGTTGTATAACTTAAAACAGGTTTTGTTATTCAGCTTGTTGATATTGAATTAAATTCCACTATGCTGTTTTCGTTATGCGATTCAAGTTTACTGTCGAGTAATGATACTAGACTTTCATTTTCACTGTAGGGGCGATTCATTTCTATTGTACATGCGATGCATTTTCACGGAAGGAAATTCATTAATTTTCATCACATAACGTCTGAATTCAGCCGACTCTCTAACAAAATTTATGAAGTCAGAAGGATTGATTATATGTGACCCGCCACGACATTTCCAGGCTTATGGAGGTAGAACATCATTGTGAGAAATACGCCGTTAACTATATGTGACTAGCCACTTCCAGGCTTATGAGGGTACATTG